TAAAAAAAATAGAGATGAGGTCTCACTATGTTACCCAGGGTAGTTTCAAACTCCTGAGCTCAAGTGATCCTCCCATCTCGGCCTTCCAAAGTGCTGGGATTGCAGGTGAGAGCCACCATGCCCAGCCTCAAGTATTTCTGATAATCTCTTAGAGTAGGTGCTACAATCAGCAGATGGATTAACAGGAAGGAGAGATGACTGGAATAGCAGCAACGAGGCTGCTGGCTACGCTGTGGGTTGTTTCCACTCTATGAAATCCTGCATAGTACTAGCTTATCTAATTTCCAAATTTACATTATTTAGTATCACATTATTTTGGATTCAAATATCTTCATTTTTTCTAAAGTCTTACAAAAAATAGCAGTATTTATGACTTGACTGACCTTTTTATACTCCACTCTTCCCTGTAGTGTATAAAAAACCCACAACAATTAGCAAGGGAAGCACTAGGACCTCCAATTCATTGGGTGCTCTCATAGTCTCTACCGTTAGACTTGGTTTTACAACCATCTCTCCTGGCAATACAAACAGGATTCATATTCTTCACTAGGGCTAAAGACAGGAGTGGTTAGAGGGCTCAACTTGCCACAGCTCAGTCACCTTGAGGAGAATAGGAGCCCCTTGCCACAGCTCAATCACCTTGAGGAGAATAGGAGCCCCTAACATTTGCAGAATTCAGCTGATGAAGGATACAGTTTATCCAGAGGTAATTTGCTACAAAAACAAGGCTTTTGGCATCTAAACCTCCAGTGCATCACAAACTTCCTGCTATTATCTAATAACACCCCCCAGCCATCACTGTTTCCATGGTAACCGACAGAGAAATAGCAGCCTGCCAAATGGCTTTTGTAGTTCCTTTTCCAGCTTGTTTTTTTCAGTATAGAATTAAAACTAGCTGGGAAAAGAACCAGACTAATCCTTGCAAACAGGAACACAATGTAGTTTGAAAAGTACAACTGGGTTTGGGACAAGAAGTATAGAAAACCTTTAATAAAGTCAGCCTGATAGAATAAAAAAGGTCTATTGAAGTATACTTGATAAGCTTTATGACAGTCTTAAGACAATATAGCCTGACATCAGCCAGAATATAGATAAGGTGCCCTTCACTTAGTCTTTAATTTGAACTAAACAAAAAAAGGAATCGGAATGAATGTAAAAGCAAGCTTAAACAAGTCTACTATGCCCCTGAGGAATGACAGTAATATCATTAAAGGAAAGGGTAATTTACTCTAAAATCAAAATGAATGAGCAGTAGTTGGCAGACTTGGACTACAGGACAGTGAAAAAAAAAAAAAAAAAACCAGCACCTTGGAGGAGTGAAATGTTTAATCCAAGGGATGATGTCTACATGAAGCTGACTGAGCTGATGCATGAATCAGAGGGCACTGGTGCTTACAAAACAAAGACCTCCTTACTGTCTCAGCACAGGGCGAAATTGTTACGAATACAGTGTGTGGAACTGGAACAGCTTTCAGCAGATCAGCAGTTAACGGAGATCTGCTCAAGGTGCCAGACTACAAAATAAACAGCTGCTGCAAGGGTGGAGGAGTTTGAATTTTTAAAAAATCAAGACTATTTCTCTTTGAAAGTGGCCCCAAACAAATGCTTTTCTGTCTCAAAACTGCACACTTGAACAAAGTGCAGGAAATCTCATGACTCTTCCATGTCCGCCTGAGATGAGAAACTGTGACTCAAGTCAAACAGGCATTAACTTCTCCTCCGAGGGGTCAAAGCTAATAGGAGTTTGAAAGATTCCCTCCCACAACCTCTAATAAACCCTGAATGTCTCGGTGACAGACATGAAAATTACAATCTGTAGTAGTACACCGAGATAGGTCTCTAAGAGTTACAGGAAGTCAGACTCCTACAAATCCCACACAGAAGACTAACCTAATTTGTACTTTTTAGATTATGCTTTACCTTGGGCTGTATGAATCATGAGTCATGTTCTCATCGCCTGAGTTTATACAGAAAAGTAGACAAAAATTTGCAATAATCACTTTCTTTCAATCCTTTGGAAAAAAGGATTATTTATAAGATAAAGATGAGGCACTCTAAGATATATTTCCAAGGCTGTCAACTCAAAGAAAGGGTTCTGCACTTCGAGTTTAGCTACATTTGTACAGCTCCAGGTTTTTGGAAATCTGTTAGTGAGACCTGAAGGAATCTTCAAAAGTTTAAACTTGTATCCTGTTTACACAAACATGGAATTTACAGGTTCTGGGGAAAAAAGGTCACTTTTTACTCACGTGTGATTATAATTTCAAACATACTAATATTCAATTTCCCAATGTTAAACAAAAGCCAGAAATTAGATGATATACAAAATTTGCATGAAATTCAATCATAGTTCAGACTAGGCCAGAAGCCAAAACTTACTACAGTCAACAACCTGAAGTACCAACATGTTTATATTTCTTCCCAAATCCCTTTCCTCAGCCAACTTTGTAAAAATCTCAGGCAAATTTTCTTACTTATTGGATCAGTATTTTAATCAAATCAGCTACCATCGTCATAGTGCAGATTCCCTTGCCACTGGCAGACAATTACACGGACGTTACCACTTCTGAGTATTTCATGGCCTGTATTCTCATTCATGTTCATCAAAATAAACTCCAAGAAGGCTGAGGAGAAGAGAAAGCTACAGCATGGGGCACGGCAGGATAAGGTTCCGTTCCAAATGGTTGCCCACAGAAACAATGTATGCGGTAGTTATGCTCTCCATCTACTTGTTACCCTATAACATAACTGATGTGTACTACCAGGAAATAGCTCTTGATCACCATGTGTCATATCTTTATGTGAGAAAATGAAGAAATTCAGCTCACTGGAGGGGAGAAGAAATGGGATATTTCTGGGCACCAGAATATTGTGAATGTGTAATATTTGGAAATTGCTTGTATATAAAATGATTTATCCAAAAAGCATACTTAGGGAATTCTTAAGCTCCAAATCTATAAATAGGCCCAAATTTTTAAAAAGGGTGGTGGTGGTGGTGAATGTATATGTGTAAAGAAACAGTAACAGAATACTTAAATACAGAGCAACAAAGAAAGTAAGTGTGAAAAACTAAAAACCACTATTATACCAAAGGCTATATATACTACAGCTTATTTGCCAATCCAGCGGCTAGAAGGATGACTCTAGGAGGAAGGTGCAGTACTAGCATATTGCTAGATGAGCTCCAGGAGGAGAGAGATGATTTCATCTTACTCATTCACTGCTACAACCCCAGGTCCCAGTACCACTCCTGGCAACAAGCTGAGGTTCCATACATCCAGCTTCAGAAGAGGGTCTGAACTTAAATAATGAGACATACAGTGTTTCTCTACTATTTATGTAACAGGAGTCTTACTAAGGGCAGGATGAATTTTTCACACACGTGAACTTGGTATTTAACTGAGTGGAAGCTGTGTACAGAAGTATAATCATATCTAAAACGAATATAGCAAAAGTTGGTTTGTCTGATTCTCAAGTGGTACTCCTTAGTACATGAGAAGGCTGCTTGCCAATGAAACCGAAGGCTTAGGGAGCAAGTTCAGTCGAAAAAACACTGGCAACTACCAATCCCCTAACAAAGATCAAACTTTTTATGTAAACGTAACGAAAGAAAACCTAATCAATGGAAATAATACCTACAAAAGGTGCTTAATGGCATATATGCAAAATTACACAATATGCTTTAAAAATACCACGCATGGAAACCCAATACACACCAGGAAAACACTCAGTCTGTTAACTGTATTCTTATGGAAGTATATCTGACGAAGAACTGACACGAGTGCTAATAATGATGTGCTCTGGCTTAGGTCTATTCAAAACTCAGCCTGGGCCAGGTGCAGTGGCTCATGCCTGTAATCCCAGCACTCTGGGAGGCAGAGGTGGGCGAATCACCTGAGGTCAGGAGTTTGAGAACAGCCTGGCCAGTATGGTGAAACCTCATCTCTACTAAACATACAAAAATTAGTTGGGGGTCCTGGCATGCGCCTGTAACCCCAGCTACTCGGGAGGCTAAGGCAAGAGAATCGCTTGAACCGGGGAGGCAGAGGTTGCAGTGAGCTGAGATCGTGACACTTGCACTGCAGCCTGGGCGACAGAGTGAGACTCTGTCTCTAAAAAACAAACAAAAAAACAGCCTGTGGGTTGCCCTTCCACACTGACTGGGTCTGGCTTAATATTATAAGCTGAATGATCAGGAATGCTGGTTAGGAAGAGACACAAATCCTGAAAATAAAATAATTTGTTCTTTTCTTGGCGTTACTATCTTTCTTAGTCCTAAGGTGCTACACTTGGTTTTTTAAAAAAAATTAATAACCCTAGTATTCCTCAAATGTCACACAATCAAGGTAAGAGCTGCGGTGGAAACTGAAGTTATTATATAGTTATTAATTTTTTGGTCACTGTTTTTCTACCTGAATGTGGACAGATCACCATCTCTGATAATCTGGCTTCAGTTTCCTCTCTCTGAAAGAGTTACAGATTCACATGTATTTCAGGAGGCGGCTAAGAAGGAACAAAGATACATGTAATGCTCCCTTACAGAAAAGTGGCCATATTACCATGAAAAACACTTAAAACAAAGGCTTCTTCAGGGACGTCTTCCTTAGCTTCCTTCCTCTTCCTTAGCCTCCCACTAGCTTGAGTCATCCTTCTAAAGCTTTCCTTCACAGCATTGATCACAATTGCAATAATTTGAGTAATTAGGAATATTTACCTACCCCAACCAGACTGTATCTCCAGGAAGACAGGGAGTTTATCATCAATGAAATGAGCCCCCAGCACCTAGCATAAGGCTGTCAATTCTTGTTGCATATGTAAATAAATGAAGGAGCACTTTGGAAGTCAAAAGTTAACCATGGGGAAGTAATCACTTGAAAATGTTTCATCAACAAAATGTGTATTCCCATGCTCGAAATCTGAAAGTAGAAGCTTTTAGGGGTTCTCCTTTTTTCACAGACTGATAAGAGGCAGGAAGAGCGTAAGAAGAAGAGAATACTCACTGGTGGTGGCTTCTTTCTCATCTCAAATATGCGTGTGGCACCAAAACTGAGTGAAGCAATAGTAGGGCACCTCCCTAGTGAGGGTTCATCATCACTGTGCCAGTCCACACTGTCCTTCTCATTGCGGTAAAGATTGCAGAGTAAGGAGTTGAAGGTGTGGCCGGTGTTCTCTTCAATGCGGTTCTTTAGTGTGCGCAGCACAGGATGCCACTGCGATCCACAGACCAAGAAAAGGGCAGAGACAGTCGCATAGCACACAAAATGGCAGCCGCGTGGAAAAACAGAAAGAAAGGGCAAAATCAGCCAAGTTATAACCAGGGCATGAAATAAGCAAATCAGTTGGAATGCAATAAACAGAAGGCAAGAAAAGTAGTTTAATTCCCTCCCATCGTTTCTATTTTGAAGCAAGTTGATCTCTGCAATGTTATAAAAGTACTAAATTTAGTACAGCAATATCATGAGGACCAGAATCTATCTATCCATCTCATCCTTTCCATGTGAAACACATGGCCTTTGCAAAAAAGCAAATATCAGTATCTTCAGGGCAGCGACCTTGGTAAGTCATTAAGGTGGTAAGTCGAGCAGCAAAGCTGATATGTCACTAGGTAGTCAGCAGACCCAGACTAAAGCCTGAAGACTGGAAAAACTTTCCTGCTGGGTGGCCCTCTGTTCGTTCTATTCCTGTTTTATCTTGATGGGGAGAATCGCTTTTTAAAAATGATCTTTAATATTTCCAGAGTGGCTAATTTCCTAAAAACATAACCGAAGAGTAAAAACATTCTTTTCTAGAAAATGAGAATCATGATAGGCTCTTGACAAGTGTACGAGCCATCAACTACAGAAGACAAACAGGTTCCATGGACCTGCCTCCTGGGCACTGGTTTCACTGATGTAATTCATATTTGGAACTGTCTTGCCACGTATACTACAGGAAGCGATGACCCCTGACCTTAGATTGTACTTGGGAGCTACAAACAACATAGCTTATATTGGTTCTTGCTAGAATGCTGTCTTTTCTCCCAGAAATCTCAAGGACTTTACAAAGTTTCCTTTAGAACAGTGGTTCTCAAACTTTACATGAGAAATTATTGAGGAGCCCAAATAACTTTTGTTTATATGGGTTACGGCCATCAGTTTTTACCATATTTAAAACTAAAACTGGAAAAATTTTCAACTACTGGTTAATTCATTTAAAATGCAATGACAGGCCAGGCACCATGGCTCACACCTGTAATCCCAGCACTTTGGGAGGCCGAGGCAGGTGGATCACGAGGTCAGGAGTTCAAGATCAGCCTGGCCAACATGGTGAAACCCTGTCTCTACTAAAAATACAAAAATCAGCTGGGCGTGGTGGCATGCGCCTGTAGTCCCAGCTACTCAAGAAGCTGAGGCAGAAGAATCACTTGAACCCAGGAGGCAGAGGTTGCAGTGAGCTAAGATTGTGCCACTGCACTCCAGCCTGGGTGACAAAGCAAGATTCCGTCTCAAAAAAAAAAAAAAAAAAAATTTTTAATTAAATTAAAATTTTAAAAAATGCAATGACAAATCCATTACATGTTAACATCAACATTTTAATGAAAAATAACTATAATTTCCAATACAAATAACTGAATAATTGATGAGAAGGGTGACATCGTTTTGCAAATCTTTTAAATATCTAACTTCTTTAATAGAAGAGAGCTGATTCTCATATTTGTTTCTGCATTCAATCTGTTAAAATAGGTCATTTTTATTGAAGTATATGAAGGAAATTGGCTTCACATAGGTATGTAGTTCACAGCCTTTTCAAATAACTGTAGATATTCTTCTTTGACATTATACCAAAACTCAACAAGTGCTGGTTTCTTTTTTCTTTTTTCTGAGACCACGTCAATCTTTTAATTGGTATAGAAACTACTTTTATTTCAAGAGAGCCCTTGTGCTCTGGTTTGATTTTGTGTACAACATATACAAAATCTATGGCTATTGAGTTAAAGTAGGATCAGAGTTAAAACCACCTGCCAAGATAGTTTTGGGATGAAATGACTACATTTACCATCTGGAGAGCTATTTGCTGTCTAGAGGTGAGAGGAGTCTGTACAATGTGGCCACTGGGCGGGAGGGTGGAGCTGGCTGTCCGAGGAGGGGCAGACATCCCCTCTGCACACTAAGTGAAGGCGGTGCGGCACTATCTGGAAACCATGGAGCTGGATTGGGACTGGCTGGAGGAGGTGGTGGCGCGCTCAACTGGGAGAAGCCACTGTGGCTGGACTCCAGGCTTGTCATGGAACCTCTGAAACCCTCGGAGCCTATCACCTTGGTGTAGTACATCACTTTACAGTTGTGCGAAGAGATCTGCAGGGACGTGAGCACATCATCCACCTGAGACAGGATGGCGGCGTCCGCAGGCATGCTGTGGAATTTCCACTGCAGGATGTAGAGGCCCAGCCACCTGGTCACATGGGAGCCTTGCACGCCTTCTTCTTTACAGATCAGAGGCGACTCCACCATGCTGCAGTTGTGGCCCCGCTGCCAGACTGTGTCTATGAGCTGCACATTGTTCCCAGGGGCCCCCAGGGAGTCCTTTTAGGGTGGCTGTGGCGACCTCTTGGAGTGATAGATGTTAAAGGCATTGTCCCCTTTGTACACGTCAAAATTCCAAGTGATGACTGAAGAGGCATCCACAATCTGAATGAGAATCTTGTGTGGGGCTCCTCTGAAGATGCTTGCAGACTGGTAGACGGTCTCAGTTCAGAGCTTGAAGTCTTCGTTCTCCAGCTCCTCCACAGTCCAGTACAGAGATTTGGGGACCAGTCCACCCTCTGGCACTTTGTACATGCACTCTCCACTCAGGAAATCTGGAATAATCTGTCAATGTAATCCAGCAGGCCTCCAGGACCCTGGTAGTCATTTCCTGCATAAATGAGGAATTTCCTTCTGGCGTTGTCATCAATAAACGGACTAACTAGTGTCCAGAGCACAGGAAATACCCTGGGTGCCCGCAGGATGAGAAGTCAGCCCAGTCTCTCAGGGTAATTGGCCTTCACCACCTCGATGATCCGCCACAGCGCTTTGACATCAGGTCTCCACAAGTGGCGCATGTTCAGCCCTTCCAAGTCCACCAGGCAGGTCCATGAGCTGAGATGCCAAATAAAGACTTCTGTATTCTCTTCACATCGCCTTAGCCCTTCTTCATTTATGGAGAGGATGTATCTCAGCAGGGCTTTCTCCCCAAACACTCTCACCAAGCTGTTGGTGTCCATCTGCCCCAGCCTGAGCACACAGAGGGGCCGCCCACCTTTGTTGTAATGATGCCAGCCTCCTGTGTAGTAATCCTGAAGGAACTAGTGGAGAGGTCTAGGTAGCAAGAACGTAGTCTACCAGGTGCTGCTTCCTCCATGTCAAAGATTGACAAATGATCTCTCTGGCTTTGTCAATATTAAAATCCCGTGCACGTAGGAACTGAAGAATATGTTCATCTTTTGGAATTTTGCCCTTGTGGGTCTTCTGGAGCCACCGGTGAAGTCTAATGAGAGAGCTCTCCTGCAGCGGAGTCAAATTGCCCAGGTATCTCTTGATGTAGTCGGCATCTACATCGTTTGTCATCAGGGGTGCCCACCACAGGCTCAGGTGCGCTGGGGCTGCTGAGGGCATCGCCACTCAGCCCCTTCTTGAGGGCAGCATCTGGGATGATGACAGCCATGGACCCTGTTTGTTTCTTGCAGGATGACGAAGATGTCTCTGAAGAGGGCGTGATGGAAGGTGGAGTCCAACGGGGCACAAAGGTTATGCCTTCTTCTTCTAAATGGCAAAGGTAGTATTCAATGATTTCCTTTCCTTTTTAAATGTTGCTGGTATATTGTTTCATTGCAATTTTTTTCCATGGTACTTTCAAAATCAAAGAAAGATTTAATATCTAAACTCGAAGACTATTCAAAACAGGTCCAATCTTCATTTTCAGGGTGAATGGTGTAGCGATTGGAAAATGTTTCATTAAGAGCCTCAATATGCAAAGTATACTCCCAAGAATTCAGTGAGTTCTTCTGGACAAAATAAACGTAATCAAATCCTGCAATGTTCTTCAGCAGTCTTGGTGCATCTACATCCAGCTTGCAGCGCCTTTCAATGACATGAATAGCCCCATCTTCACTCTTGAATTCATTCACAGTGTCACTGCCCACAAACAGAATCAAAGGACACGTAGGGAACCTCCTTTCATAGGCAGCCATAATAATTCGAAGGGGTATTCGTACACCCTCACTGCTGACTGGTATTTTTGCACCATGATTGTAATACAACAGCAATCCTTTCACAACTGTCTTGCTGAAGATAATCATTAAGAATGGTATTTTATGCTGAACATGGTGACAGGATATTCAAACATACAAAAACTGAATATCCTCAAGGAACCCAAAGTCTAGCTCTTGTCAGAAAGGCTGGGCCTGGGATGCGGGGTGGCAAGGGGCACTCCTACCAACGGCTCTGCGGGGCAGTCATGGTTCCGCTAACAAGCGCTGACTTCTTAAAAGTTAATTGCAATATGGAATCGGAAACCATATCAAACTTTTCATATTCTTTTATATATAAAGCCACTGTCAGCTGAGGCAATAAAGTGAGAACCCTCTCTACAAAAAATAAGCCAGGCACAGTGGCACATGTTTGTGGTCCCAGGTACTTGGGAGGCTGAGGCAGGAGGATCACTTGAGCCCAGGAGTTCAAGGCTGCAGTGATCTAGGATTGAGCCACTGTGCTCGCTCCAGCCTGGGCAACACCTGAGCAAGACCCTGTGTCTCTAAAATAAATGCTTTAAATTAAAAAAATAATAATAAAGCCATTGCTCCAGCCTGCACTTTGAATGAATCTTTAACCTTGCATGGTTTTGTAACATCAACCACTGGTCATCTGGAAAATATTAGTTCACTAAGTTATATAGATCTTCTAAAAGGTGACACATTTCATTATACGACAACAACAAAAAATTCTCATCCGAGAGTATTACCACTGATCTCAGCAGAAAAGCCTAAATAATGGGAAGAAGTCAGGCTCAAAGTGGCTGTGATGGTTAATATTGAGAGTCAACTTGATTGAAGGATATAAAGTGTCCTGGGTGTGTCTGTGAGGGTACTGCAAAAAGAGATTAACATTTGAGTCAGGGGGCTGGGGAAGGCAGACCCACCCTTAATCTGGTGGGCACAATCTTATCAGCTGCCAGCAAATACAAAGCAGGCAGAAAAATGTGAAGAGACTGGTCTAGCCTCCCAGCCTACATCGTTCTCCCGTGCTGGGTGCTTCCTGCCCTCAAACATCGGACTCCAAGTTCTTCAGTTTTGGCACTGGGACTGGCTCTCCTTGCTCCTCAGCTTGCAGACAAGTCTATTGTGGGACCTTGTGATTGTGTAAGCTAATATGTAATAAACTTCCATATATATATGTATGTATGTATATGTATCTATCCTATTAGATCTGTCCCTTTAGAGAACCCTAATAGTAGCAGATACCAGTTTTCCAAAATTCTAATTTTTGCTTGAAAACTCAACTTTTATCATTAGTAAAAAATCTCGTCCATTGTTTTCCTTGAAGTGACATTCACGTCACTCATTTATGAGGAAATGTCTGCCAAATACTCAAGTATGAATAACCACAGTCGGTCTGCCGGTTGTATTCTAAGTGAAAACAATCCACAACAAAAGTAGCTAGTTCAGCTTATAGCTCAAACAATCACACTTCAGTTTGTAGCAGGAGTGCTTTAGGTATACTTTTAATTTCATCAAGAAGACTATTCGGAAGACACATACTCAAAGACCAAGATTTAATAAAACGAGTAATGTTTCACCAACAGACATTCTTAAATGAAACTGGCATTCTTAAAAGTTTATATTGGAAGGGCATGATGATGATTAACACAATGACTACTACTACAGTTTGGTGACAATGGCTTGATTCATGCTAAGGCGCTGGCAGCTTTATCCACCATTACCATCAGTGCAAACCCAACACAGTGAAAATACCATATGGACTTAGTATTATTACGAAAATAGTTTTACTTGTAGATTCCCAAAAAAGGTTTCATGAACCCTCACCAGGGATCTACGGATTATACTCTAAGAACTGCTACTTTAGGGAACTCCTTGAATGTGAATTGTATTAGTCTGTTCTCATGCTGCTAATAAAGACATACCCAAGACTGGGTAATTTACAAAGAAAAAGAGGTTCAATGGACTGACAGTTCCACATAGCTGGGGAGGCCTCATAATCAAGGCAGAAGGCAAAGGAGGAGCAAAGTCACATCTTACATGGCAGCAGGCAAGAGAGCGTGTGCAGGGAACTGCCATTTATAAAACCATCCGATCTCATGAGACTTATTCACTGCCATGAAAACAGTAAGGGAGAAACTGCCCTCATGATTCAATTATCTCCACCTGGCCCCACCCTTGACACACGGGGATTATTACAATTCAAGGTGAGATTTGCATGGGGACACAGCCAAACCATATCATGTTATGTGTTTCATAGTGAGGAAACAGATGTTCAGCAAAGGAAAGACTATTACTGTTACTATTATTAAGTATATCCCATGGTTGTCAGGTAAAACTGCCAGGGAAGCTTACATAATCACTCAGCTTTACTCTGATGTGAAAACCATGGTTAAAGATGGAATTCCTTGTTACGGATATTACATTATAATATTATATTCTAAACAGAGGATTTTAAAAAATAAACAGCAAAAACAACAAACAGTTGGCTAATGGGACACCTGCGGAGACTCAGGAAGCCTCTGGAAGTTGGAAGTTTCTGTATCTCTTGTTCTCCTTTTTTATTGTGGTAGAAAAACACGTAACATGAGATCCACCCTCATAAAACAAAAATATTAAATTAACCTTTATTCAGAGAATAAATTCAAAAGTGAAATTTCAATAATAATGTCAGCAGGCTGTATTTCCTATTTACAGTTTTAAATTTATCTTCATAGAGATAAAGATCAGATGCTAGAATTACACACTTAACAAGAAAAACAAGAATGTAAAGGAAGAAGATAGATTTTTTTCCACAATGTCACCGAGAATCTAATTAGCACTTCCCTGGCTTGCTTAAGGACTGAGTACTGAGATAACATAAAGTTTGCGTTATGTTTCTAAGTAGGTATTTTTTTTTTCTGGGTTATTTTTGGTACTGAAATAGAGAGAAAGGAAGAAAAAGGGGGATAATGAACTAGAGGATTAATTTAGACTCTCCAACCAATACTCTATATACAGATGCCTCAGAACTGAATGTCTAAATTAAAATTCAGCATTATCTCACTGTTCAGTGAAGACAGTTTATCCTTAAAAGACATTTTAGGAAAAGAATACAAAAAACATCAATCACAGAAGTGAAAGGACCTATTCAGTGGATTTCAAACAGCGTTGTATAGAGTTCTAGGTACCTCAGCAGTACCTCTGGGTCTACAGAAGAAAGGAGAGGTCAAGTTGGTGGGACTCCCAGCCAGTCAAGGCTCTGATCTGTTTTATACACTGGGCTCATATGAGATTTAGTTTGAACAAAAACTAAAACAAGTTTAAAAACCCACGACTGAAACTGCTCCTTTTGCATGGGATATTAAGTCTCAGGTAATGACAATTTTTAAACTAAATAAGTACCCCCAACATATATATACACACATTAGTGAATCCACCTTTAAAAAAATCTGAGAGGTCGGGGTGTGGCCGATAATCACAACTATTCAAGGAAGCTGAGGCAGGAGGATCACTTGAGCCCAGGTGTTCAACACCAGCCTGGGCAACATAACAAGACCTTATATCTAAATTTAAAATGAAAGTAAGTAAAAATCTGAAAAAGGGCAGCTCTTTTTTGTTCAAGATAGTATACAAATGAACTAAATATATTACCAATAAAGACAAAGTTATGAGCCAGTCAAATCCGAATTAAAGAATTCTAATTTGACCACATTAATACCCAACAAGAGGGTTGTTTGAATAAGCTATGGCACACATAGATTACAGAATACTGTACAGTGATTAAATATGATGTTGTACAAGAGTATTTAGTGATAACATGTTAATGATACACAGTTAAATGAAACGCTATATATATACATATATACGTATATATGTATGCATACATACATACATATACTGTATACGTATATATGTACATATACACACATGTATGTGTATATACACACATACACACGTATATATACACATACATATATACGTATATATACACACATATATATGTGTATATATACACACACACACATATATATTTGAATGACAGAGTCTTCCTCTGTCTCCCAGGCTGGAGCACAGTGGTGTGATCATAGCTCACTGTAACCTCAAACTCCTAGGCTCAAGCGATCCTCCTGCCTCCACCCAGATAATTTTTAAATTTTTGTAGAGAAGGCATCTCGTGACGTTGTCCAGGATGGTTATGAACTCCTGGCCTCAAGTGATCCTTCCACCTTGGCCTCCCAAAGTGTTGGGATTATAGACATGAGCCATCACACCTGGTCTATTTTATTATTACAGAAAAAAAGATTCTCTAGGCATATTTGTCTAAAATATCAAGATTGGAACCAAAACATCGGGCAGAATTATCAAGAATTTTAATATTCTTCATGTTTATCTGCAGTTTCTAAGTTTTCAACAAGCACATACTAACATTAAAAAAAAAAGGATTGTCATAAATTCTTTTGAAGAGTTGTCAAAATGTTGCCAAAGTGTCGGACAACAAGAGGCTACTTTACTCAGCAGATTCTATGGGTGTTGTGTTTATTCCCACCGGCTCTTAACCACGGGCAATTTTACCCCCCAGCAGATGTTTACCAATGTCTTGAGTTGGTTTTGGTTGTCACCACTGGCGAGGGGTGCCACTGGCATCTAACAGGTAGAGGTCATGGATACTGCTAAATATCCTACAACGCAAAGGATAGACCCACAAGAAAGAATTATCCAGCCCAAAATGGTAACACTACTGAGGTTGAGAAATCCTGTTCTAAAAGATTAACTAGAATGAATGAGAAAGAACTTCCCCACAGCCCATTTAATCTTCAAATTCTCTGCTATGACTACTAACAAGAAGATAAATTAATTCTGACAGAAACAAGGAAAGCAGGCTCTGTTGGACTGGCCTAATTCCATTATCTCCATGTTTCAAAATCAACCTCAGATAAAGGGTCTTGGCACTTCCCCGGCTCACATTCTAAATGAAGCCCTCGAAACCAAAGCATGCAGTTATCTCCTTACGTGAACAGGCCATGTTCCCTCGGTCAATGTTTTCTCCCTGAACATTTTAGTAAATTGGTAGCTTGCAATTACACATTTCTAGAAGCTCTGAAATGTGTCACATTTCTGTGTATCCCAATGCCATAAGCCAAACTCCATTTTCTTCAAAGCCTCTTTCAATAAAACATAACATTATTTGCCAAAGGCAAGATTCCAGGAACTAAACAGGGAGCTATTTCTTGGACCTTAACTCTGTCCCCTGGATGAGCTTAATTTATATACTAGAATATCTTGGTCTACTTTCATGGAAATTTTTTAAAAGCAAAAGCAGCAGCAGAAACAAGCCAAAGCAGTAATCAGATGGAAGTCTGAGAACTGCAGCCATAGAATAAATACAAAGTTAACAAGAAAAACACCAGATTTTTTTTTTTTTCACAAATAGCAAAAGAGTCTGAGAAACAGAAAAAGACATATTGACCTCACTCGTCAGTCATAAGGACTCAGCCCCACAGCAAATGCATACCAGCGTGTACACAGAAGGATTACAGCCAGAAGAGCTTGGGAAAGAGGGATATTAGGAGAAGAAATAGTTCATTTTCCTGAAATCCTAGACTCTGGTTCAGTTTACTCTAGTTCTAGTTTGTTCTCATCCTCTAGCTCATCTATGGACCAAAAGCACATGAAGGATGACAACAACAAAGACTCAATGTTTCAACCCAGAGAGGTTTTTTGAACTAGGAACCAGCATGCATCTCTGCAAGGTAATCTGTTGTTATTTTATAGCACTCAACACATAGTATATAGTCTATAAAACCATACCAATGACAATATTTTGACATACGTGAGGATTTGGTTCCATAGTGATTCTTGAGTAAGTGTAAGGAAGTTCTCCATACCATGCTGTAAGTCTTGGTTGCTGATAAGTTATATCTAAGAAAGAAAATACAGGCCTTTGAAATGGTTTAATACTATTTAAGGTGTTACTACTGAGTGCCAACTCTGTGCCCTGCAATGTGCTATGAGAAATACAAAGGAAAAGTAAGAATAGGCTCTGACCCAAAGTTCCACCTTCACAGAAGATATGGGACTTGGCAAGTAGAATGAACAAGAGAAACCACTACGTTGGCAGACACTGCATGGGCAAAGGCTCTGAGATGAGAATGTGAGTGACTTGCTTGTATTAGTGATGACAGAAACAAGAGAGGGCAAAGAGTCACACTGGGGAACAGTGGGGCTCAGACTAGGGACGGTCTCAAAAAGCAGAATATGGAGCCTGAACTCCTGCCTGCAGAAATTTGTGGTACCAACATCCATATGAGAAACAAGACAAACTGCTCATTCATGTGTCCAATGTTGTGTAAACCTTTTTGATTCAAAGGAGGAAAAAGTGTCCTGACCAACTGTAGCATGCAGTTGATTTTCGTCAGAAGGTTTTGATGTTCCAATTTATAGAAGCAGTTATCCATAGATCTACTCTTTTTCCCACTACTGGTATAACCACAACAATAAGAACAATAATAATAATAGTAATAGCAGCAGCTAATACTCACTGAAGGCTTACTACGTACCAGGCAATCTTGTGTTATCTCATTTTATTAACACAGCAACCTTATAAGGTAGACAGTATTATTTGTTTAATTTTACAGATAAGAAAACCAGGGATCAGAGAGTTACTTAACTGTAATTTGCTTAAAATTAACAACTACTATGAATGAAAGAGCCAACAATCAAAGCCATGTCTGTCACCAAAAGCCCTGCTGCAGAAACTGCGGGAGTTGAGAGAAGGCTGTCCTGAAGGCTGAGAGGAAGCTGACTCCCATTCTGAAGCATGAGTAACAAAAATGAAGCCAGTACAGTCGGCCTTTCCTATCTGTGGGTTCCACATTCACCATGATCAAAAATACTCAAACCATGGATCAAACACACACACAAAATATATAAAAATTAAAAATAACAATACTATGGATGAAAAATACTCAAAAAATATATAAAAATTAAAAATAACAATACCACAATAAAAACAGTGTAACAACTATTTACATATCACTTACATTGTATTAGGTATTATAATGATTTAAAGGATACTAGAGGATGTGCATAGGTTATATGCACATACTATGATAGTTTTGTTTTGTTTTTTTTCCCGAGATGGAGTCTCGCTCTATTGCCAGGCCAGAGTGCAGTGGCGCGATCTTGGCTCACTGCAACCTCCGCCTCCTGGACTCAAGCAATTCTCTTGCCTCAGCCTCCCGGAGCAGCTGGGACTACAGGTGCACACCACCATGCCCGGCTAATTTTTGTATTTTTAGTAGAGATGGGGTTTCACCATGTTGGCCAGGATGGTCTCGATCTCCTGACCTCGTGATCCACCCGCCTCGGCCTCCCAAAGTGCTGGGATTACAGGTGTGAGCCACCACGCCCAGCCACTATGATAGTTTTTATAAAAGGATTTGAGCATATATGAATCCTGGAACCAATCCCCTGTGGATACTGAGGGACAACTATATATACTTTGCCTCTTTACAGAAAATTTACATTCACTTAATGTGCCAGAAAGAAAATTCTATGCTAGAGCACAGACGCCCCCCAGTGACCACCTGTGGTATAACAGGCACTGTTGGCTTGCGGATGCCCACAGAGATTCAGGTTCCAACTCAGGTAACAAACTGCTGTGTCACTTTTACAAGCTCAGGAGAGTACAGATGCTGAAGCTAGAGGAGACTGGACTCTTCTGGTGAAAGTTAAAGAAGAATACAAAGTCAGCAAGGAGTGTGAAAGAGTGTATGCAAAATGGGATCAGAAAAAAAGAAAGCTCTGTAAGTTTCTATGAAGTAAAACGTTGGCACCATTTGAAGCAACAGTCAGTGAACAAACACAAAAGGAGGTAAGTATATCAGCCATAGTTCGGCCAACCAAATTTCCTTTGGTTCCTTGAACTCTCACCTCTATCCTCTTGCCATGTTCTCTCTGATCTCTGGGCCTTCCACCTGCTGTTTCTCCTCCCTGGAATACTTTTCCCTGTCCTTTCTGGCTAATTCTACTTTCTTAGGATCTCAGGTTTTGAATTTCTGTTTAAGACTAGCTAAGTAGAGGCGATGGTATTAGGAAACATTCCAGAGAGGGAGAACACGCAGCACCAACTGTGACCTCTGGGATCTACTTACCCTCTCTGATGCCGGTCCTCTGTTTCCAGGGAACATCTTGACAAAGCTGTTCCAATATCCAGTCAGCTTCTTTTACGTCAACAAAGCCAGGATACAAACAGACCCTGGGTGTAGAATGAACCATTGTTAACCAAAGAACATGGAAAAGATAAGTTAGACTCTAAACGTTAGTGGAAACAGTTAATCTGGATGCAGCCTCTAATGGGTAGATGAAATCATCTTACCACAGCTCCCACAGCAAGCAGAGCCTAACATCACCCAGGTCATGAGGCGCCATATGTAAAATAAGCTCCTTTCATGTTGGGACAAATAAAAGAGGCAATGAAGGATAAATGGATGATAGGTAAGGGCTTTTACAGATCATAATTCAAACACTACTCCAGTACTGCTTAGCTGTGAAGCCCTGGGCAAGTTACTGAACCTCTCTGAACTTTGGTTTTCTCATCTGTAACCTGAGATGACATCAACCTCATAGGTTCACTGTGAAGAGTAAATAGAATAAGGCTGGGTGCAGTGGCTCATGCCTGTAATCTCAGCACTTTGGGGGGCTGAGGTGGGTGGATCACCTGAGGTCAGGAGTTCAAGACCAGCCTGACCAACATGGTGAAACCCCGTGTGGACCAAAAATACAAAATTAGCTGGGTGTGGTGGTACACACCTATAGTTCCAGCTACTTGGAAGGCTGAGGCAGGAGAATCGCTTGAATCCGGGGGCGGAGGTTGCAGTAAGCCAAGATCACACCATTGCACTCCAACCTGGGCTACAAGAGCAAAACTCCGTCTCAAAAAAAAAAAAAAAGAATAACTAATAAAATGCTTGGCCCTGTTTTATTTAAACAATTGGTAGTCTTCTGAGACTACACTAATTCTAGGGAAAGCTAGAGCTCATTATGACTGTATCAAAATAAACACAGCTAATGAGGGTTCTTTCTCCCACTGAATATGTGTTTACTTCAACAATGCCAACTCAGCTCAAAATAATTTTGGATATCTTTCTTAAGACATCTTCTGAAAGCCCACAGAAGATTCTCTTAAACTGCCTTGGTAGCAAATCTTCACTCTTTGAAGGTGCATCTGATTTTCTGAAAGAGCCAAAGCTTACCTGAAGCCATACCTAGTTAACAGTAAGATATGACCAAAATGATAAAACTGGTTTGAGTGACTTGCTTTAAAAGGAAAGTTCCAAAAAGGGTTATAACCATGGCAGAGCCATTGTTCCAGCGGAAGCTCTTAAGAAATTCATTTAGGGCCGGGCGCGGTGGCTCACGCCTGTAATCCCAGCACTTTGGGAGGCCAAGGTGGGCAGATCACGAGGTCAGGAGATCAAGACCATCCTGGCTAACACAGTGAAACCCCGTCTCTACTAAAAATACAAAAAATTAGCCGGGCGTGATGGCGGGCGCCTGTAGTCCCAGCTACTTGAGAGGCTGAGGCAGGAGAATGGTGTGAACCCGGAGGTGGAGCTTGTAGTGAGCCGAGATCGCACCACTGCATTCCAGCCTGGCAGACAGAGAGAGACTCCGTCTCAAAAAAAAACAAAAAAACAAAAAAAAAAAAAAAAAACAAACAAAAAAGAAATTCATTTAGATGTGTAAGTTCTAATATATTTGTTTTAAATGTCTCATTATTTTATGACAATTAGTATACTCAAGCATTAAGGTGATTTTAATGTTTCAATGTTTTTAAATGTTTTTAAAACAATGACTAATGCCTAATATACCCTAAATCGTATATGTTTAACTACTGAAATCTACCCTAGGCCAGGTATGGTGGCTCACGCCTGTAATCCCAACACTTTGGGAGGCCAAGGTGGGCAGATCACTTGAGCCCAGGAGTTCAAGGCCAGCCTGGGCAATATGATGAAACCCCATCACTACCAAAAAAAAAATACAAAAATTAGCCAGGTGTGGTGGCACACACCTGTAGTCCCAGCTACTCAGACGCTGAAGTGGGAGGGTGGCTTGAGCCCAGGAGGCAGAGGTTGCAGTGAGCCGAGATCGTGCCACTGCACCCCAGACTGGGCGACAGAGCCAGACTCTGTTTCAAAAACAAAAAGACAACAAAAAAAGAAATTTACCCTAGTGTAGGAATATGTAATATTATATTCAATAATATATCATATGTAATACACATGAAATACAAAAATAATATAACGTAGCACTCACAGCACCTAAGTCCAGGCTAGACCCAACTCTAATACCAAGTTACTATGTGGCATTAAGAAAAAATATTCAGGCCAGGCACGGTGGCCCACACCTGTAATCCCAGCACACTGGGAGACTGAGGCAGGTGGATTAGCTGAGGTCAGGAGTTGAGACCAGCCTGACCAACATGGTGAAATCCCGTCTCTACTAAAAATACAAAAAAATTAGCTGGGCTTGGTGACACATGCCTGTAATCCCAGCTACTTGGGAGGCTGAGGCAGGAGAATCTCTTGAACCTAGGAGGCGGAGGTTGCAGTGAGCTGGGACAGCACCACTGCACTCCAGCCTGGGCTAACAAGAGCAAAACTCTGTCTTGAAAAGAAAAAAGAAAAAATATTCAATCTTCCTGGGTCTCATTTCCTCATCTAAAAAACTGGGGAAGTAATAGCTATGATATCTGACAGAAAGGTTTGGAACTATATCTGAAAATGTTTTGATGCTAGAAATATTATATAAAAAGGAGATACTATCAAATTTTTGCTCCCCAAGAATTTAAGGGGCAGAAGTTACCTATTTGCAACAAGGGAGTAGACTTTTTTTAAACTTTAAGTTTGGGGTACATGTGCAGGTTTGTTATATAGGTATGCTTGTGTCATAGGGGTTTGTTGTACAGATTATTTCATCATGCAGGTGTTAAGCGTAGTGCCCATTAGTTATTTTTCCTGTTCCTCTCCCTCCTCCCACCCTCCACCCTCCGACAAGCCCCAGTGTCTATTGTTCCCCTCTATGTGTCCCTGTGTTCTCAACATTTGGCTCCCACTTACAAGTGAGAACATGCAGTATTTGGTTTTCTGTTCCCACGTTAGTTTACTGAGGATAAAGGTCTCTAGCTCCATCCATGTTCCTGCAAAGGACATGCTTTCATTCCTTTTAACGGCTGCATAGTATTCCATAATGTATATGTACCACATTTCCTTTATCTAGGGGAGTAAACTATTTTAAGAGACTATAACTCAGTGATAATGACAGTCACTTCTTGTGAGGATTCGCTTACCTAGATACACCTGTGGGTGACAGGCTGATTTCATACACACCCTCTCTGCTAAAGAAACAAAGGAAACAGACTTGTTAGTTTGAAGCAAAACAATATGCTCTACCCAGTGAAGAGTTATCCTTCCTAACTGCCAAAGTCCTGGCTCACCAAAGTCATTTAATTATGAGAGAGGCATAATCCCCACCTTCTTCTACCACTGAGATAAAGGGCAAGATCATGGTATATCATTAATGACACTGGGAATGGAACTGTGACAGGATCAGGCCATGGAGACAAAAACTGGGATAAAATCAATTCTGATTCTACCTCTTTTATTCTACCCATAATTGAGGCAGATATGGTCCAGGAATCTATTGCCCAAAGAGGGGTCAAATAGAGCACTGCTCTGGAGAATGTGGAATAGGGGATACATTTAACAGGCAGCAAGCACATCTCAGGGCTCTGGGCTTCTGTTGCTTTCAAAAATATACATCTGATGAGGTTCCTCTTCTGATTAAAATCCTCCAATGGCACCCCAAAACTGCATTCAAGGTCCTCATAATGCAGCTCTATCTTCTGACAGCTCCCATAAACTCATCATCCTCTAGCAGCAATCAACTGCTTGGAATCTCCTGAATACACCACTATGTTTCTAACTCCATGTTTTTCAACATGCTGGAATGCCACCCCATCACCCAGCATCCCCAAACCAATCCGCCTTCAGTTATGGTTTAGTGGAAAACTCTAATTCACCTTTCAAAAATCCTGGCTTCAGCATCACCTCCTTTAAACTTTTCCTGACCTTTAATCCAGGCAAATAATATTAACCTCTCATCCTCTGTGTTACCACTAGACCTTAGATACAGTCTATTTTTTCATGATGTACAAGATTACAATTTATCTGATTAAATGTCTATTTCATTTACTAGACAGTGGGGTCCTGAGGTGCAAAGAATAGGTAGGTTATTGTTTCCCAGTGTCTGTACATAGCAGATGGGCAATAAAGGTTTACTGAATTTAATCAAATGTGAAAATGTATAAAGCTGTTGCAGAACTGCCAGGTGGTGAGGCCCATAATGAGAAAAGTGACACAGACTGGATAGGTATATCAAGACAATTGTGTCAGATCCTTCTGAGAGAGAGAGACGTTATAGAGAATAATGCGAAGGGGCACTTTTCACATCACCTTCTGTCATGGGAGTTAGTGGTTCATGATCTGAGCTAGGCTTTTAAGTAGATGTATGAGTGCCTTTCAGTCAAAATGTAGGCATAGCTGTCACACATATTTACTACATTTTCTACATGCATTGTCTATAAAGTTTCCGAGTATACAGAGAACACAGTGTTTCAATATGATATATTTTTGGCCCACATTCAGAAATGGCTCACGGAAGACATTTCCGGCTTTTTTTTTTTTTTTTAACCTAGCAAACTTTAGATAACCAGAATTAACAGATTCCAGGACCAAGTAGGAATGAGTTCTGTCCTTTTTCTCTGACAATTGCCAGTTTTGGGTGGGCCGAATGTCGCATCTGTAGCTTACAACATGTTTCACGGTTTTGTTTATTCTCCTTATCACCAATGAAGGCACTAATACACTTGTTTTTTTAAAAACAACCAAGGCCTGGCATGGTAGCTCATCCCTGCAATATCAGCACTTTGGGAGGCTGAGGTGGGAGGATCATTTGAGCCCAGGAATTCGAGACCAGCCCAGGCAACATAGGGAGATCTCATCTCTACAAAAAATTTTTTTTTAAATGAGCAAGGCATGGTGGTGTGCGCCTGTGGGCCCAGCTACTCGGGAGGCTGAGGTGGGAGGATCACTTGAGCCTAGAAGATGGAGGCTACAGTGAGTTTTGATTATGCCACTACACTCCAGCCTGAGTTAACAGAGTGACAGCCTGTTCCAAAAAACTAAAAAATAATAAACAACCGAAGACTATTAGAACTAGCCTGTGACTTTTTCTAATATATACAAGCCAATCTGCAAGCAGTCAAACAGCATAACAAACAGATTGATCATGGGCAAGAACATTTATCTAATGCTAATTTGCTAAGATAAAAGAATAGTTTCTACTGACAATTTATCTACATCAGATGAAAACTGACAAGCATAAAAAGAGGAGTCAAAGCATCTCTCACTAACTTTGGACAAGAACATTTAGACACAGATCAATATAAGAAGAATGTTTACTATCATTTAAACTGTTCTGGAATAATTACATGGTTTTAATAAATGGACTGTAAGCTCATCTACAGCACTAGCAGCTTTCACAGCATTGCTAGTAAAATGGCAATTAATGGCTTCTCAAAGAACCATGCTTCAATGACTCAGGAAAAATCCCTCTCTGTCTCTGCCTGAGAGGTTTAGCTTATTGTCTACCGATATCAGTGAAATAGGGCCAGGAAATCTACACGAGTCAAAGTTTAACATATGGCTATCTTTGTTGCATTTTCCATACCATCAGCAAATTCAGAAAGTCTTCTCAAAAGATCAAGTTTAAAGACATTTGAGATGGGAATATCCCAGACTAAAATTAAGACACTTATTGGGCCATTCTCTTCCAGATAGAAAAAACAGTAAGGAAAGATTCCAGTCTCTTCATTTCACTGTGGGCAACAATTACAGGAAGACAGCAAATTACTTACTCAATCACTCGTGGCTCGGGAGCTCTACGTACTACCTGCAAGGAAATAGGCGGATCTTACTTCTGAAATGTTCTTAATCCTCACAGATACTGACTTACCATATCTTCCCATTTCTGGTCAAAATAAAGTTAAAAACTATCTCTTTTCTATTCCAACTTCTCACTAACCCACCAGAGATCCTTGTCTCTGCTCTTCTTAAAACTACTTCACATTTGCTAGTAGACGGTAAAAGAAGATACAATTATTAATAGAATAAATTTTCCTAGCAGCCAGCAGCTCTGGAAAAATCTTGACAATAATCTTTTTTAAAATAGGAAATATGCTATAAAATAAGGAGTTTCAATAATTATTTATAGAGTTGTTACTGTGGCAAGATACCCAACTTTTTAACTTTTCCACATTATTAAAAAGTAAATCTTCACTGTTTCTTACATTTTTCCTCATGGGAAAAAAGGACTAAAAAATCAGGCATTTTGCTGTAATAACTGAAATTTTAATCTAATTCCAAAGACGTTGAAGTGCAACAGCACTGAAGACAGCACAGTCTTAGAACTGCTGGAGTTCAAATAACAAATGCAAGCAGGCTCTCATTATGGTGTAACCTCCTTGCCAAAAATGCAGGAATAATATGTGACCATAAACTAGAAGCAGACTACGAAGAATCCCCAGACATAGAAAGGAACTGAAATACTTTGCATTTCATTATTATTATAGTTCTTCTGCTCTGCTATTAGTGAATTTATTCAGTCATTATTTATTTGAGTGTCCACTGTGTGACTATCACTTTTTAAAGCAAATTTTTGTCACTATTGAAGAAAAAAACAAGAATTTACCTGCTGAGGTTCTTTGAACACAAACTCTCTGTCAGAGAGATGATGCTCTTTGTTCTTCCAGGTCTGGCCAGGCTTCTGGTGGAGATGGCTCTTAGCAGTGGTAGCTGAAGCAAGAGAGGGGGCAGCCTCAAACCAGGGGAAAGTCTGTTCTCAGCACCTTCTACTAACCAAGGGCCAACAAAGCCCACTTGGAGATGATCTCTATGACATGTAGAAACTAACTGGTAAAGTCAACAGAAGACACTGAAAGGTTTGAGGGTGTGGACTAAATATGAGGAACACTAAAGACCCACCCTTAGCTCACCATCAACAAAACAGACAACATTTCAGCCACATTTTAAACAATTCCTTGACATCAATTGAAATGGAAGTCCATTATAAACCAAAAGGATATAAATAAAAGAGAATGAGAGTTGTCCATATCCACACACACACAAAATCCCTACAGATTCTTGCCTGGCTGAGCAATGGCCTGGCTCTTAGCAGGGGCAGCCCAGGCTCCCTGAACTCGGGCTCGCCGTCTTTTTTCCTCCATGTTGACCAAAAAGGTTTCTGTTCCGAGCTTTGGGAAGATTTTGCTTCTGCTTCAAACTACTCCATGGTTATCTGTTTATTAAAACAAAACAGTGTTTTTTAGTTACAGTTGTGAACAATTACTCCTAAGGCATAATTAATTTCAGGCAGAAGACTCTCAACGGCAAGAGCCTCTATGTAAAATCAGTTTCTGTCATCACAGCATTTCAATCAAGAAGCCTAAGTCACTTGGGGCTGCTGGCTTTAGCATTTACCTTTTGTAATCTTATCATAGTACTTTTGTTTCTTTCACAAGAAAGTGCATTTTAAGAAATTCTAAAATCAGGACCTATCACAAACCACATTCCTCTTAATATTCCCCAAGAGTAGAATATAAGGAAACTGTACTATTCCCATTTTCACCTACATGGACATTGAGAAATAGGCTAAGACTGTTTCCAGGCATATATTCCATTATCACCGGCTGCATCAAACTTCCCTGAAAGTTTGTTCAAAACACTTACGGTCCACCTCCAGAAAATCTGATTTAGGATAGATACAGGTATTTGTTTTTAAAACAAGCAGTGTAAGATTTGACACTATGCAGGTATGTATGTGGACCGCAAAGTTTAGTGATGTACCCAAAGTCACTCAGGAAATCAACAATAGGTAGATTAACATTCAACTTTTATTAAATTCCTGTCTCCAGCTAACTGATAAATCCACCTCATAATGGCTAATAATACTAATTTGACAGTTGTACCAGTAAGTTTAGCCTACAGCAAATACAAAAGCACATACAGCTACCAAAACAAGGAAATTCAAGCCACATGTTCCAAATCTGTAATCTATTTCTTTATGCTTCTACCGAAGAAAGCTTCACACCTCAAGTTCTCAAAGGTAAAAAGCTCATTTTATATTAATAGCTTGCTTAGCCTATAGATTTCCAGGTCCCATCTCCCACCTCTTCTGACTCAGTAGAGCTGAGCCAGGTCCAGGAATCTGTGTATTTCACGAGTTCCCCCAGGTGATAAGCATGTAATTCATTTCATTTAATAGGTGGGGAGACCACAGAGGCTGCCATCTGCCCAGAAGAGTTAATGACAATCAAATACCAATTCTTCAATCCCAGGAGCTCCCGTTTGACATGTTCTCTCACTTGAGGCCCTAAAAGCGTAACACAATTACCTACAATCCCCGCAGAGGATACAAGTTGCTCACCTTCTTGCTCCGTTCACTCGGGAGCCATATGTTATTTGTCAGGGAACAACTGTCGAAAATACAGATTCCAGAGCCCCATCCCAGACCTACTCAATTTGAAGAGTCCCAGAATTTGTTACCTAACGCCACCCTCAACCCAGGCATTCTTAATGCACACAGAGCTTGAGAACCAGTGCTGTAAAGGACAAGGACTCTGGCGCCAGCCAGAAGTCGCTTTGAATCCAGATCTGTCACTTTCCAGCTGCAAGGCTCATAGCAAATGACTTCACCTTTCTGAACCCCAGTTTTTCCTCAGTAAACAAGGAGTCACTTTCTGCACGGTTGAGGTGCAGACTAAGCGAGCTCCGCAGGTGGAAGAGCTTGGTCCTGGCTAAGGGTACTTCCTTTTCCTAATTTAGATTCTTCCCTTCCAGGAGGTCTAGAATGAGGCCCCGGAGGTCGCCTGGGAAGAGACTTCAGGGGTGGTCCTCACACCCCCAGCCCCGCGCACCCAGCAGTAAGTCGGAAACGCGCACTTACGGGCAGTGCCGGGCGCGCCAGTCCAAACCCGCTAGGACTTGCGGCACCCCTCGCAGCCCGGTACCCACTCCGCAGTCTGTGGTCGGAACCTTAAGAGTGAAGCACCGACTCTAGCAACTCCCAATTACAGGCCGCGGCGTCAGGCACTTCCTCTCGACGTTACGCAGCGCCGCCGCTACTTCCGGTGCACCGTCCTCAGTCCGGGTAGTCCCAAATCCCCCGCGCCTGAAGGGCCTAATCACCGAAGGTGCTGATGAGGGGAGAGAGGTTGCAGCGGACAGGGATTGAGAGTGCGGTGGAGCGGTATGAAGGGGTCGGGGTTTGGAAAAGATGGAAGTGAAGGCGTGTCTCCTACGTGAGTTCCTCGAAACTGGAGATGTTTAAGGATCGGCATCTTTGTGGCAGAAAGAGCGACCGGGTCCCTGCGGGGCTAGATAAAGGGAGAGGAGTTTAGGGGACCTGGTTATAATGTGCTAGGCAAAAGGATTTGCATTTTATCCTAAAAGCCACGGAGAGGCTGAGATGAGACTCCTTTGTGTTCCTATTGCAGCCTGTGCACGCCTCCGAACACAGAATTTACAGCAGGGCATAGGACCACGCCTTAATTCGCCTTGGCTCTCTCCAGTACTAAGCAAATTTTGCTTGAGTGAACAGACCTACTTTTTGGTCCAGACACCACCATTTACTGGGTGTATAATCTAGGGCAAGTACTCTGACTCTGTTAAATGGGTATCACTCTAGTTGGGAGGATTAGGTGAGATAATGCATTTAAAGAATATAGCACAATGCCTGGAACACAACAAAAACTCAAAAAATGAAAAAGAGTTCACCCCATTTGAGCTCATGAGAAACATCTTTAAAGTGGTCATGTTAAACCATGTACTTTACAGTATGAAAATAGCAAAAGTAGCACTGAATTGACTGTTTTATGCAAGTCATTATCTAAGATCTGCCAAAATATAGTCACTGTGGAAATCTTTAAAATAAGCCTGGTATGAGTGTTTACCTGCAGGAAGCTCATTATAGGTACACCTCATTAATGTACCTATATTGTTGCTACTATCAAATGCATTTTCACAGCACTCATTATTATTTGTTATACTTTGTGACACTGAAGGAAAAAATGATTTATCCTAGAGCTGAAAGAAGAGAAAATGCTAAGGCTAGATTACAGTTTTTTTCCCCCATCAACTAATTTGTCAGTGTCTGCTTCTGGCTCAGGAACTTTGGCTGTATCTTCTAAAAGATATCATTTCTTTCTTTTCAATGATTATAGTTTTGGAACAGGAACAAAGAAGTCTGGATTGAGGAGTTCCTAAAAGTAGTGATTAACACCTCTTCAGCCTCTAAGTAGTGTATTTCTCAAAAATCAATCCATGATTTACTTGCATCTGAAATCATCGCTTTTTTTGTTTTTCCAGAATCACCTGCGTTTTTAACAAATACCCAAGTGATTCTGGTGCACAAAATTTTTGAAAACTTCTAGGACTCATGTAGAAAGACAAATTGTTCTGGTTTGAATGGGCCTGAGGAGTTTCCCAGGACACAGGACTTTTAAGTGCTAAAGCCAGGACAGTCCTGGGCAAACTGAGATGGTTGGTTACCCTAGACAATGCGAATATATAGTATTAGATGTTCTTAATGGTCTTGGCATTCTCATTAGGGTCTTGATTTTCTTATTTCTGTTTGTAGTATTTGGGTTTTTATCAGGAGTTGGTGGTAGAGACCACGGGAGAAGGAATGACGGCCAAGTGTATTGCCAGTTTTCAACCTATTGAGTCTCTATTCCAAATCCATCCTTCACTACCCTGCTTGCAATATTGGAAGGTTTCTCCCTTGCCTTTTGGTTCAATGGGCAGTAAGCTTCATCAGTGGAGGGTGCTGGAGGAACTTTAGAGGAGGAAGGAGCTCTTTTTTTCTGGTTCCAGTGTGCTCCTCTCAGCTGGCTCTTTTGTGCACAGTGGCCCACAGTGTTTGACTACTCCATGTGGGCTGAATTACAAGGTTAGTTTCTCTTGTGAAAGTTAAGGCATCAATTGGGAAGGAATAGAATCCCAAAATTTGAAATAAGCACTCTGCTTAGACCCAGATAACCAACAGTCTTGAACACCCACATCATTCTGAGTCTTCCTTGGCAGTGGAAGTAGCTTGCCCTCCCAAGTCTGAGGAGACTAGTCATTCTTTGCTTGAAGACACTGCTATGCCCTCAGTTGGGGCAGATGACTTCAAAAGGGAAGCTCATTCTCTACAAGACCCACCAGAATTTACTTCCCATTCTTCTGCCCCATTGCCACTAGACCTTAACTAGGTTCAAACCTCATTAATGTTCCAGGTAGGCTGATACACACTATGATATGATAAAACAGTTTGCATGCTGAAAGAATTATACTAATTACACATACTTTGCTAATGTGTGGAATGTGTGGAAGTGGATTCTAAGTGTTTTAAACTAAGGAGGGCAGTATATATTACTGTATCAGGCCAAATTATATGGAGGCACTTACTAGAGTGCCTTTACAGACATTGTGTTGACTCATGCAACTGGAAGTGACTTTAACAGCTTATTTGGTGGATTTCTTGAAGATTTAACTCAACAGTAGTCTATAGTTAATATTATTGAGATGCCAAGGCATGATGTACAGGAGGGAACCCAAAGACGGAGAGGGGTAGAAGTGTTGGACTGAATTTATCAAATGTGACCTTGACCCACATGCAATAGACACAAACACAAAAACTATATCCTACAACAAGATCCAGAAGATGCTCCTGTTTCTAAGGCATTGAGAAATACTTTAGACAAGGGAGCGCTTGCATCCTTGGAAAGCTCTGTGGTTGCTCTCCTTTGCAGGCCAGGTATGATCATGGAAGATGCCAGCATTGAGTTGTGTTCCCTGGTTTTAGTGGAGATCATGAGGCCAAGTGGCAGTACTTAATTGTTAAAGGTAGGGACATCGATCCTATACAGAAGCCAGGACATACCAGTAATCAGAATATGTTAGTCTATAAGGATCTTTGGTAGTGGCTGTGGTGTCCCTAGGAATGAAACAGATGGGCAGCCTACTAGAGAATAGTTTGATCTATCTAACAGAAAAGAAGTCTATGTCTAGTAGCCAAAAACCTTACCTGAGTGCCACACTGGATAGACATAGTCTCTCACCTAGTTTCCAGACAAGTCATATCACAAACCCAAACCTCTTGATTGACAGGGAAGCCACATCTCTTGGAGGAAGGACCCTGCACCATTGACACAAGTATATACTGTAAATTTTCCTCCAAACCTTCATCCAAGTGAATGCAGCCATTTACTCAAATGGTTACACATTGGGGAAAAGTAAGTACCCTGGTATTTTAGGGTTTATCGAGCAATGGCTCTGAACTAATTCCTGGAAACCTAGAACACCTCTATAGCCCATGAATGAAAGTGAGGGCTCATGATGTTCTGGTGATAGATGGAATCTTAGTTCAAGTTTGACTCACAATGGACCCAGTTGTCCACAGATCCATCCAGTGGTTACTTCCCCAGTTCCTGAATGTATACAGATGCTCCCTTGACTTATGATGAGGTTATATTCTGATAACCCATTGTAAGTTGAAAATATCATAGGTCAAAATGCATTTGCTACACCCAACCTATGGAACATCACAACTTAGCTTAGCTTGCCCTAAACATACTCAGAACACTTACATTAGCCTAAGCTGGGCAAAATAATCTGGCACAAAGCCTGTTTTATAATAAAGTGTTGATCGATCATGTAATTTATTGAATACTGTACTGAAGTACAGTTTGTACTAAATGTGTACCACTCTTCCACTATCGTCAAGTCAAAAAATCAATGGAACCATCATAAGTCAGGGACCATCTATAGTTGGATTAGTTATATTTGGCAACTGGCAGAATCCCCAGATTGAACTCTCTGACCCACAGAGTGAGGGCCAGTTGGTAGAAAAGGCTACATGGAGACTCCTGGAACTTCCGCTCCCTACTAAGATAGTAAAGACTAGCAATACCACATTCCTGGAGGAATTGCAAAGATTAATGCCACAATCAAAGACTTGAAAGAATCAGATGATAATTCTATCACATTCTCATTCTCATTTAATTTACTGTTGGCCTGTGCAGAAATCAAATGGATCTTGGAGAATGATTGTCGGCTGTTGTAAATTTAATCAGGTAGTTACTCCATGACTCCAATACAGCTGCTGTCCCACATGTGCTATCTTGAGTGAGGCAATTAACATAACCTTTTGCCTTTGGTATGCAGCTCTTGACCTGGCTAATGCCTTTTTCTCCATATTAATTTACAAGAAACATTCTGCCTTGGCTGAGCGCGGTGGCTCAGGCCTGTAATCCCAGCACTTTGGGAGGCCAAGGCAGGCACATCGCCTGAGGTCAGGAGTTCAAGACCAGCCTGACCAACATGGTGACGCTCCATCTCTATTAAAAATACAAAAAAATAAAAAATTAGCCAGGCATTGTGGTGCACACCTGTAGTCCCAGCTACTCGGGAGGCTGAGGCAGGAGAATTGCTTGAACCAGGGAGGTGGAGGTTGCAGTGAGCTGAGATTGTGCCACTGCACTCCAGCCTGGGTGACAGAGTGAGATCATGTCTTAAAAAAAAAAAAAAAGGAACATTCTGCCTTTACTTGGCAGGGCAAACAGTATACTCTCATAGTCTTGCCTCAGAGATACCTCAATTCTTCTGCTGTCATAGTATAGGGCCACCTCTTATCCTGACATCCTACAAAACATTACACTAGTCAACAATAATGATGACATTGTGCTGATTGGATATGGTGAACAGAAGGTAGAAAGTGTTTTAGATGCTTTAGTAAGACAAGTGTGAGCTAGGTGTGGTGGCTTATTCCTGTAATGTTATGCATGGGCCAATACGCCCATGAACAGAGTAGTCATGGTGGCAGGGATGGAGGATAGGCATGGGCTCAACAATTTGAGCTTCCTTTTCTCAAAGTTGGCCTGGCTAACGCTACTGCTGCATACTTACCCTACAAATAGCCAAGACCAATACTGAGCTCTCCATATGTCACCATTCATCAGGCAACCATCCAGCCACTTGT